TTGTCTAATGTATAATCTTCCTGAGTTGGTTTCAATAAAATATAAAATGCATGTGAAAAACTTAAAACAATCAAAAATAGAATCATTAAAAATGAGAAAACATTTCTAGCAACTCCTAAAATGATTGCAAAATATCTTCCAAAGTATGTAAATGCTCTTAAAAACAGCATAAATTTCAGATCTAATAACAAATTGGATAATGAAATCAACTCAGTAGCTGGTTAATCATGATGATACAACCATAGAATTGAAGTGATGACTGGTAAGAAATATGCCCCAATGTCTATCAAATAAAATAATAAATTATCAATTTTAATTAATTAGCTAATAATGGAAATTAATAATAATGTCATACCAAAATAATTCCAAAAGTCCTTGACATATTTAATTGGGTTCCAAATAAATTGTCTTGCTTCAAAATTAAGATGAAACAACCCAAGGATGATTGTAATACTCAGTAATAAATTTCTATTTTCATCAGATAATTGATCTGGTGAAGTAGAGGTTGCAACTGCAAAGCATAATAAAAATGCTGTATAAATAATCCAAATCCCAAAGTAATATGTGAATCCAAACTTATCCCACTTGGAATTCAAGATTACTTGACCATTCCAATGTTTGTACAATTCTAAAGTATCTAATTCAATAAATTTACTATTTGCTGGCTTATATAATAATTCTTTCCAAAATGAATATTTACTGTTGTAAGTAACCAACCCAGGATATGGAATTGCCAAATCTACACATGGTTTTTCAGATTTGTTATCTAATATATCTAATATTGCGTTTATAAATGCTATAAATAGTCCAATAAAATTATATTTATAATAAAAATCCCAAAAGCTTTTTTTTTTATAAACTGATTCTTCACCTATAGCATTATAAAAAGTATCCTCATAACCAGATTCTTTCACAAATGGAAACAATATCACTGAAGTCTGATTAAAGAGTTTTGATATTAAAGTATAATGGCTTTTTTCTAATCTTGGTAATTCTAGTATAATTATATTTAATAAACTAATATTTAAATCAGTATCTTTTATAAAATAACCAAGACAAAGATCAAATACTTTTTCTACTAGAATACTATTATTATGATCTAATGCTACCTTTAATATTTTCTTTCCAAATTTGTTAAAATAATAAAACTCATTGATCATACTATCTAACATTTCTTTATAAGGTTGTCTAGAAATTTGATGTTTATCAATATATGAATCATTAATATTACCAATAATACTATTGAAATTAAATAAACTATCTTCATTTGCATTATTCTTAATAGCTGATTTAATCTTATCTTCATATGTAATAATTTTTGTAAATATTTTGGAATCTTTCTTGCTAACTGATAAAATGCATATATCATAATTTATATATAAAATTAAATCATCACTATTTAATACTTTACAACACTTAAATTTTTTATGACTTTTAAGACCATATTCATCAATTGTTGATGATTCTTCTTTCATTCCATCATTAATTGTTTGTGCTTTTATATTAATATTTCCAAATTCATTATCATATTCTATTAACCATTTAATTGATTTTCCAGTTTCTCTGGTAAATTTTGCTGGTCTTTCAGAAAACTTATACATTTCCAATATTTCTTGTATTGCATGTAAATAATAGTTGCTCTTTAAAGATATTGTTTGTTGAATACCATCTAAATTTTCTTTATTGATTATTTCTTTAATGTATAATTGATTGTCTATAACTTTTGCTATTTTACCATGTGGTAAAATTGGTCCAAATAAAATCTTTTTTTCATTTTCATTTGTAAAATACTCTGTAATATTCATAAAATTATCAAGATTATAAGGATCCATTAATTTGTAATTATAACTTTTTGTGTTTTCATGATAATATATTACTAATAAATATTCTAATTGATCTGTTAGATAAATAAAATCATGTTTTTTCATATCAATATTATTTTCCAATTGGGCTACAAAATAGGAAAATATATTCATTAAAATATAAATTAATATAACATGCAAATAATAAGAATATATAAATACTTACTTGCAGAAATAATAATATTATTTTTTAATGAATATACAACCAATGTTGAATGAATACTATAATATACTGCCATTATTGTTTTATCTTTATTAAATATAATATCTCCATTTTGATATACTAAATAATAATTATCTTGATATGACATTGCTACAACCTTCCATTGTGATATAAATAAATCCTTAGAACCAATTAGAAAATTGCCAGAATTTCTAAATAATAATCATAATCATAACAATATGTTGATTTATGAACCAATTTATCATTTGCATCATTGTCATCATCACTCACATATGAAAAATTGTATAACCTCATATTATGAATCATTAATAAATCATTATTTGTAATAAAATACCCTTCATAAAAATATCCATCATTAATTATAAAGTCAATGTATTTTTTTTTTGTAAAGTCAAGGAATTCTAAAAAGTTAATTTAAATGATTTAAATATTTATTATTTAGTTGCTATAATAATAAAATACATATATCAATTAATTGATAATTGCTTACTATAATATCCTTTATAACCAAGATGATAATATTTATTATATAAAATTATATATTTGTCATCAGAAACATCTTTTATATAAATACCAACAGAATTACCATTTTTTCCAAAATCATCTTTAGAATATTTAAAGCAATTATCTTTATCTGGCTGGATAGTTCCATTGTCATCAATGATCCATTCAACAATAGATGAATCATTTCTACTATGAGTTACTAAAAACTTTAAATTAGGACTATATTTTATTTCATCAATATCACATCCATTATGTGGATTAATTTGTTGTTGAATAACATCATCATTTATATCATTTGTATTTAAATTATAATTATCATCTTTTGTAATTGATATTTTATCTTTTTCTGTATTCAATACTGTTACTACTTCTATAATGTCAATATTCTTTTCATCATATGAGTTAAAATTATTATTTTCTTCCATTTTTTTAATAAATAAAAACTTTTTCAATGTACATATGAAAAAATTTGTAAAGGATAAATTTTTTTTTTTAAAAAAAAAAAGATTTCGTATGTTTATATTCGCCCGTTCAGATTATTAAAAATGCAGTCATCATAATCGCGTACACTTTATAAATAGATGAAAAAAAGTACATCCGAATTCGTCCATTTAGAAAATGCAGTCATCATGGCGTACATCTACTTATGTATTAATATAGTATAATAGATGAAAAAAAAAAGTATTATCCGAATTGATAGAGCACCTCTATATAGAAAAAGTATATCCCAAATTCGTTCATTCTATGATTTGATTAGAGCACCTATATATAGTAACTTGTACCTTTTTTATAAAAAATATTGAAATTAGCCAATAAATTATTTTCACAATTAATATTGAAAAAATCAAAGAATTAATTTTAAAAGGAACTGCAATCTTCAGGACCAAGTTGATGAATATAAAAAAAAGATTTGTGGGGTGACCAAGAAAAGGTTTCAAATCGGTAATATCATACAGACTGAGTGTGGTTGTAAGTATATATGCATTAATAGCAATTTTAACAACCAAAACTACTCGAGTTTTGATTTAATTTTTTTATAATGTTAAATTTTTCTCATTTGCTTTTTTAGCTAGCATTAATACAATCGATCAAATTTTTTTATGATGTCAGCAGCAATAGTAGTGATGATCATGTTAATGATAACAACGGTGGTGATGGCGGTGACGGCTATGAGCAACTACCACAAACTTTCCTCTATTTGTATGCTATCCACTTTGCATAGTAAAATTTTGAGATCCTATTTTCAATTAGATTATGTATGTATGGTCCTTTCTTATTGAAAAGCCTCCATACGTGAATTGCAAATTCACATTTCACGCACAACAACACCATATTGATTAATTTCTTTGGAGCAAAAAACTTCATACATCCTTAAAGAGCCGAGTAATAGGTCGTAAATGGATGATGGTGATATTTGAGGAGATTAACCTTGTTGAATTGTGATATCCAGTACTTGAAATAAGCATTGGAAATAAAGATAATATGAGCAATTGAACTTTTTAAGAGCTGTTTGACATCCATTATCTGCAAAATAAATTTGACATATGCTTCTTACAAAGCCAATTGATTTAACTTTTTCTTTGATAATAGAGATTCAAGAAGGTTTGGTTTGTCTTAATTTCTATCTTTCATTTCTGCAAAACAAAGCCATTAAAAATCAAGTTAATACTCTATATGCAACGCCATTTTCATAACACCTAAAATTTCTTTTTTTCCTTATGTTAATTAATTTTGTTTAAATTAATTAGATTTTTGTAACTTAAAATATCAAAATGTAAATATGAGATAATAATTACCATAAATTTTTTTATTAAATTTTCAGATCATTATTATATTATTAATATTACTAAAATATGATATTTGTATATATATTCGTAAATTATTCATAAATATTACCAATAAATATTACTATTCCTTTATGCAAATGTAATGAATTATGATTGTCATATTGCAAAAAACAAATAACATTTAAAAAGTGCTTATTTTCAATTATAAACTTTTTTGCAGGTTGTTATTTGGACTCTCTCTTGATTTCTTACTTCATGATAAAGCTTATAAATCGATTCTATCAATGAAATAGAACCAAGAAAAAAGTCAATTCAAAAACAGAACAAAAAACAAACTTACTGGCGATAAAAGAAATAGAAAGTCTATGGATGAAATTGCACTGAGTTGTCACCTATTGATTATTTTGGGTGGTGACAATAGGGGACTTAATTATGTGGATCAGGAATTTTTATGGTTTTTGGTTTTGTGGTTATAATAATTTGGGTAGGTTGAAATCTTGTTATTTCTTTAAGAAATATTTTATTGTTATTATAAATTATCAAGTTATAAGTTATCAAAAGTTAATAAAAGTTATACGTGAAATCAAATTTCTTATATACATGTCAACCTGCTTTATCTCTAATTAGCACAATTTTCCTTCCTTATTGTGAAAACCAGATAACATGGTTGTAATACTTTACAAAAGGTTTTTATAAGGCTTTCAGAATCATTAAAATACATAACAAAAAAAGTGCCATTTTTAGCAAAGTACTTACTCTCAGGATTATAATTACAATGCTTCAATTCATTGTATTTTGGGATAATGCACCTCCTCCAATCTGGTACCTTTTTCCCTTATTTTTAGCATATACCCCAGATAAAATAGCTTTAGCTATTGGGTTCTTTGGAATATATATCTTTTGTGTTTCCACATGTTTTGTTTTTGAATAGATGACAATCAAATCATCTTTATTATTGTCATCAACATTTAATATAAGACTTGGAACATTAAAAAGAGAATACAATTTAACATGATTTCTGCCAATAATTATAATGATGACGTTGATGATTATGACGACGATGACGATGATGATTATGATGATTGTGATGATGGTACTTTTTTATTTAATACGATCTCTAATAAACAAAAAAAATTATCATCATTGCCACCAAAGAAAAAGATTGGAAATTTCATTTCCACAAATCCATTTCCGACAAGGATACATCAGCAGCAGCAACATCACCACCACCATAGTCGTGTAACAGAATTGACAATTGATTTATTGTATTCTGATTTTAAAAATATTAGTTCTAGTTCATTATCATCAGAATTTGGAGAAATGGTTTCAGCAAATGATTTGGAAAATCATAACAAATTAATATTAACTGCAGATTTAATTGATTTCACTAGTTGAAAATGGTAAATATGATTATTAAAGATAACTTTAATAATAATTACCAGAAATTTTTGTTTAATTTGTATATATACAAGTATTATATCCGGAATCCAAAGTCACCTCAAAGTAAAACCATTTATGTTGATGAAAACAATAAAAAGAGAGTTTTCTAAAAAACCATCTAATTGTTTTATTTATTTTTTTTCTCACGCCTTTTTAATTTATTGACAATCAACCTCGATCATGGTTAACATAATAAACTTTTTTTTTTTGTAACTTTTTTTAGTTCAATCTAGAACTACA